TTTACCCTTGACTGTACTTTGTCCCTGCTCATGAGTAATCTAAATCTAATAATATTATAGTCACTGTTACTTTGATGCTCCCCTACCGTAACCTGTTCAACTGGACCTATTTAATTCCCCAGGACTAGTTGCAGCAATGCTTCCTTCCTCGTAGGACTGGAGACATACTGCTAAAGAAAATTTTCCTGTACAGTTTATGAATCTTTCTCCTGCCTTGCCCTTAGCGCTGCTATTTTCCAGTCTATATTGGGGTAATTAAAATCCCCCATTATCACAACTCTGTTCGTCTTACATCTATCCGCAATCTGGTTGCAGATCTGCTCCTCTATCTCCTTCCCGCTGTCTGGTGGTCTATAGTAAACCCCTATCAGTGTAACCACTCCTTTCTTATTTCTTATCTCTAACCAGATGGATTCTGTTGTCAGGCCCTCCAGAGCCTCGTTCTTTTCTACAGCTATAATTGTATCCTTAACTAATATTGCCACCCCTCCTCCTTTTCTTCCTTCTCTATCCTTCCTGAACACATTATATCCTGGAATATTTAACTCCCATTCCTGTCCTGGCTTGAGCCATGTCTCGGTTACTGCCACAACAACGTAACCCCCTACGGCCAGTTGAACCTGCAGCTCATCAACCTTATTCCCTAAGCTACGTGCATTTAGGTACATGCATTTGAGGAAATTGTCCACTTGTACCTGCTCTACACTTCCCACTTGTCTTTTTCCTCTAATCTCTAATCCATTGTTTATCCTTGGATACCCATCTCCCCTCGACACTGGTTTAAATCCGCCCCTACAGCATTTGATAATCTCTTGGCAAGGAAGGTCACCCCTGCCTTGCTTTAGTGCCGCCCATCCTCAAGGTGGAGTCCTGTAGCTCAGTGGTTAGAGCACTCGCTTTGCAAGTGAGAGACCCGAGTTCAATTCCAGGCAGGTCAGGGCGAAACCTTGGGCAAGTTTCCTTACTCCACACAGAGCCTAATAATAATCCCTCCAAAACCAAAAACAATAATAAATTGGTCATTTTCAATCCACGACTGTTTGTGGGACATTGCTGTGCGCAATTGGCTGCCGCGTTCGCCCACTAATATACAGTCAATTCACTTTGCAGTGTGTTCTGTGAAGCGCTTTGGGACGTCCTCCTGACGTGAAAAGCGCTATAGCAAATGCAAGGATTATTAAGGTAAAGATCTCACCTCCCCCAGTAATGGTCCCAATTGTGCAGAAAACGGAAACCTTCTTTTCCGGACCATTTCTCCAGCCAATCGTACATGCGCCTGATTCTTTTATTATGGTGCCTTGTTGCCCGAGGTACCGGGAGTAACCCGGAGATCACCACCTTGGATGTTCTGGACTTGAGTTTGCTCCCCAGCTTTTGATACTCGCCCTGCAGCATCTCAGCCCTCTTCTTACCAATATCGTGGGTCCCCACATGGACCACGACTTCTGGACATTCTCCTACCCCCCAAAGAATCTTGTCCATGCGCTCTGTGAAGTCCACTACCCTCGCACCAGGAAGGCAGCAAACCATCCTATCCTCACGATTCTGATTACAGAAGATCCTGTCAGTGCCTCTTACTGTTGAATCCCCTATCACAACTGTATTGCCATTGTGAACCATGCCCCTGTCCTGTTGGACAGAATGTCCACTGCTGTCCTCACGAGAGGCTTCCACGCTCTCGATAGCTAATGTTGAGTACCGATTAGAGACTGGTACTCTGTTGGGGGTGCTCTGTCTTGAACAAGCCCTCTTCTTGCCCCGTCGCACTGTCACCCAATCACTTTTAGCATGAATGAAGGGTGTGTTGGGCTCCTCTGGGAGTGGTCCTTTTCTTGAACTCTGACCTCCCGATAGCTCCAGTACCCCTCTCTCATGGCTCCTATACAGTGATGGGCTGCTATAGCTGAGTCCTAGAGGAGTGAGGGTCTCCTCCACCATGCTGTCCAGGAACCTCTCACTGTCCCTGATGGAGCGCAGTGTCTGCACCTGAGACTCCAGCTCAGCTATTCTAAGTTGGAGCTTGCTCAGTTGCAGACATTTGCTGCAGATGAAGTCACCTGGGCTCACGTTGCCCTCCATCAACTCCCACATCCCACATGGAGATGGGCCTTGAAGTAGGCAAAGGAGTGAGCGAGGCAAAGGCACTGTGGGATGGGAGTTCTAAAGGGTGGGGCCAGAGAGGCTAAAGGGCTGACCGTCAATGGTGGGGTGGGCCGGGGAGGGGACACGTAGTAGCCTGGAGTCTGCTGAGTGGAGGAAGCGCACAGTTGGATTTATATAGCGTCCTTCATGTAGGACAACATCTTGGAGCGTTTAACAATGGTGCAGCTGGACCCCAATGCAAGGAGGAGGTGACCATTGGCATGCTCAAAGAGGTAAGTTCTAAGGCGAATTTAAAGACAAATAGAGAGGAGGTGAGGCAGACGGATAGAGGCAGAGAGTTCCAGCTGGGGCCTAGTGACTGAATAACAGGTGGGATCAGACAGGGAGAATAGTGCTGCAGAGCCTAAAGAATGGGCATACCTTGACAAATACTAGAGGAAATAAATGTATGCGAGTCTCAGATAACCCGTATACTTTCTCCCAGCTGTATGCTGACATAATTTAGCTCAGTTTGTGCATCTATTTTTAGATTCATATAAGACTGGGAACATTCAGAATAAATCCTAGACAAATCCTCCTAATTGGACACAGGATGGTACAACTTCTTAGGAATTCCGTATTCAGAGGAATTTCTCAATCTCTTCAGTAACTAGGGGCCTAACCTCTGGAACTCTATCTAATGGCCATAATCACTGGTCACTGGTCAGTGCTTATTTGAATGAGAACATCAATTCATATGCATAAGTAAAGCCAACCAGCTGCCTCCACTAAGAAAGTGGCCGACTTCCAGGGCATTGGTGTGTCACTCACTCAACAACTTACATAGGGCCCTTCCTCCGGATGGCATCTCGGAGCGCTTGAAAATCTTGCCCACTGTTGCTTTCGAGCATGGAAGCATGGACACAGAGGAGAAGAGCGAGTCACCTAGCTAAACTGTGCAATACAACACTCAAACACAGATGGATGTTTCAAGTTCTCAATCTCTTCAGGAACTATGTCCCTAACCACTGGAACTCCCTCTGCCTACCCCTCTACCTCTGTCAGAAAGTAGTTGTTTGAGCATTACCCCAGGAATTGAATTTTTAGTTTTTGTTTAAAACGTGCCAATTCAGGTGGATGTTAAAGATCCCCTGGCACTATTAAAAAGAGAAGGGAGTTTCTCCTGGTTTCCTTGCCAACAATCCCCAGCGAGTCAGTGATGAGAGGGCATCAATTTAAGATAATTCACAAAGGAGTTTTTAACAGAGTTGTTAGAATGTTGTCTTTCCAGGTTTGGTTGTTATGGCGGGATCTACATTACCTTTCAAGAGGGAACTAGATAGATATCTAAAACGAAGTAATTTGCAAGTATATGAGGAAAAGGTAGGTAAATAGGAGAGCCTTCAGCCACTCTGACCCCAACTTCTGGAATTCCATCTCCCAGTCACTCCGCCTCGCTCCCTCTTTAGCCTCCTTCAAGTCCTGCCTCAGTACCCTTCTCTTCGACCATGCCATCAGCCACCCCCCTTCCTCTCTCCTCCCTTACCCCCACAGCTCGAGTCTGAAATGCTGTACTCTGTCTAGCGCCTTGGGACGTCTTCCCGACGTGAAAGGCGCGACACAAATTTAATCTTATTGCTGTTGTTATAATGGTGGTCAGGATTTAATGTTGGATAAATGTCACTTTAAAGTTCATCTCTGTGCAGAATGGAGTTAACAATTATTGGCAGACAAGCATTATTTATGAATATAGCAAAGGACAACTTTTGAAAAGATAATGGTCCTTGAAATACTATTGTGTGATGCAGAAGCCAGTTTGCAAATAACATTGTCCCTCAATCAGCCATTAAGTGAATAACCAATTTTAACTGGAGGATTGTTGGCCAGGACACAGGGAGAAACTCACTTTTCTTTTCGAATAGAATCCATCTAAACAGGCAGACAGATTTAACATCTCCACAAATTCATAAGTATTTGGAGCAATGGTTTGGTTTGGTCCCTCGGTATTTGGTCCCTCGGTTTTAAGCATCAGCAAAATTCTCTAGCACACACAGTCATCTCGGTTTTGTAATGGTGGAACAAGAGGCAGTCTATCAATGTAGTAATATAATCCTGCTCAAAAGAAACATCACTTGATTTCTTTCCTCTCCTTTATTAAAGTAAGAGGAACGGATATCCCAGAAACAAGAAGGCGAGCTCAAATTCCCCTAGATGCAGATGTATTCCTGGGCAATTGTTCCAGAATCTGATATTCAAGGGCAACAACAACAACAACAACAAGATTCCATTTATAAAGCGTCTTTCACGTCAGGAGGACGTCCCAAGGCGCTGCACAGTTGGGTCAGGACCCGAGCAGGGGGGAAATGATCAGGGTGAGGGGAGGGAAGGGAGGGAGCGAGGAGGGGGGAAATGGTCAGGGTGAGGGGAGGGAAGGGAGGGAGCGAGGAGGGGGAAGAGAGTCGAGAGGGGAGCTGAAGGCTCGGTCAAAGAGAAAGGTTTTGAGACCGGCCTTGAAGGAGGAGATGGAGGAAGCAAGGCGAAGGCACTGGGGGATGGAGTTCCAGAGCCTGGGGGCTGAGAGACTGAAGGGCAATGTCATAATGTAGCCTAATTAAAAGATTTCTTAAGAATGGGGTGAGAAATATCCACAAATGCATCCAATACTTTAGAAATTTGAGAATTACAGCATAGAAAGATGACAGATTTGGACTCCAATATCCCAAGAGACAATCTAGTTAGCAGCCATGCGTCAAGAGCTGAATTAAGAAGTGCTGTTGATAAAAAGATTTAAGAGCTGGTTAGCTACCCAGCTTTCTTGGAAATAAAATGTTGCAAGGGGCCTGTGGGAAAGCAATTAAAGCAATTACTTCTGTACTTCAGCACCAGTGATCCCTGAAATTGTTGCACAATCTACTTACAGAATCACAATCTCTTCTTTCTTTCCACATTTGGCACAAAGTTCGAGTTTGAGAGCACAAGGTTTACACATAACGTGGTAAGGTTCCTTTACGGTCTTCTGAAGGCACTTAACACTATATCAGAGAGGGAAAAAGAAATTGTCATTCAAGATCCTTGCCTTCACTTTAAAATCCCTCCATGGCCTCACCCCACCCTACCTCTGTGACTTCTGTCCCATCTGTTACTCCATTCAACAAACACTGACCAGTTTATGATCTCCACCACATCCATCTCAGCCATTTTACTCTCTGGAAATCTATCCTTTCCCCTCCCACCTGCCTTCAAAACCTGCATTAAGACCCATTTCTTCAATCAGGCTTTCTGCCACCTTTCCTCCACCCACCCTCTGAGCTCAGGCTCCCACTCAGCTATGTGAAGCACTATAAGATGTCCTTCTGACATGAAAAACCCTACATAAATTGTGACATAACATTTAAAACAAAACATTTAACCACAATCTACCTAACCACCATAAATCAATTTGATATGACAAAAGAGAAATATAAAAATACCTGAAAAATCCTACTGATGAATTTATCTAAAGTTAGACTGGCCAGTAAATAATTATTTCATTTTTTTTAAAAAAAAGCAACCACATAACCTGGATCTAATTGGAGAAGCACGCTTCTGCCATAAAATGTGTTATAGTTAAACCCCAGCTAACCGGACCAATGGGAGGGAGAGCTAGAATTTCTGTAAGTGTAAATACAATACAAATACCAGTAAGTCGGTACTGTGATTGCAATTGTTTGAATCCTGCGAGCAGAAGATAACGAATAACCTATTTTCTGCTCGCGGGATTCAAACCGAGTCAGAATGAATATTGTATCCCTAGCCTGTGAAGTACAGCAAGCATGTGAGACGGGGATCTGCGCTTGGAAAGTTGAGCGGGCGCGCATCTACACATCGGCAAGAGTAAATTTGGGGTTGATGGCTGTTTTTAAAATTCCGTTTCGGTCTGGCTAGGTATGAAATCTGGAGACTTGGGAATCTGTAAGCCGAGGATTTACTGTATTAGCATTATTTAATATATATTGGCTATCATCTTAAGCCTCATTTGTAAATCTGGACTGACGCCATTCCAAACTGTTTAGAAGCAAATTGTGGTCAAACCTCATCTAGAACATTTACACATTTTCTCCTCTTCACTGTCTCCTCAGCTCTATGAAGATTGGGAGTTGGAGGTGGGCACGTGGGAAGGAAGAAATCAATGGCATTTCAGCAGCGTTCACTTTTTTATCTTGCGTGATGGGACGCTATACACATGTCAGTTGTTGTTGGATTAAGGAAAGTCATTCAAATTCTTTGAAATACCCACCCTTCCCCCGAGACCGCTGAATAATGGTAACACCCAATCCTAAGTAAAAATGTTGTAAGCCATCATCTGGTTTCTTGGTTCGCAAGGCCACTGGTTCAAAAGCAGGAGTTGCCTTCCAGGTGGCATTTTACAAGACATCAATTGAATTAACTTGTGGTTCTGTAAATTTGATATTTAATTTGAAACATCTGCTAACCTCTTGCATTGGAAAACCCACCTGGTTACAATGCCCATCTTGCCTCCTGTAGCAAGAAGCAGTACTGCCTGGATTCAATTTATTTCTGTTCACCACATTACCGAAAGGATATTTTAGCATGGGGAGAATGCAATGTTGATTTACAAAGATGCTACCAGACATGAAGTGGATACAGCTGTCAAGAAAGAGTGGACAAGTTGGAACATCTGTCTAGAGAAGAGAATTGAGAACGGACCTACAAGAGGTATTTGAAATTATGAAACAATTTTATAGGGTGGACATGAATAGGCTATTTACACCTGATAGGGAGATCAAAATAAGAGGCATAAATAATTAATATAGCTAGTAGTAGATCTAAAAAGGAGTTAAGACAAACGTCTTTACATAGAAGGTGGCAAGAATGTGGACTTCACCACTGGAAAATGTGGTTGAAGCTAAAAGCATCGACATATTTGGCCAAAATCCCCCAAATAAAACTGGTCACTCACTTCATGACTGTTTGTGGGATATTGCTGTGAACAACTGGCTGTGCGTTTCATCCACAAAATACAGTGAATCCACTTCATAGTACATCCTGTGAAGCGCTTTGAAACACCTCAATGGCATGATAAGGTACTAAATCAAATGCAAGGATTATTATTATTAAGATTCAGTATATTTAAGGTCTTGCAAACAGGAAAAATCAGGTCTGGCTGACATCCAATGCTTGTAATGTGAGTGGCAGGGGGCGCTATTTGACAGGGCTGATCCAGGGATCATTGCAAAACACTAAGGTCGATTGAGAAATTTATCTTGAATGCCTGAAGTGAGTAACACATTAAGAAAAATAATAATAATAAGTTTGTAACTTACCACTTGCGAGCCAGAGTAAGTGGCTTATATTTGCTGTACTTTATTTTCCATTCTAACACTTCTTTACAATGACGACAGACACCAGAATGCTCCTTGGCATTTATTTTCTGGAAGGAAAATGGTTTTTGTATTACTGAACATAAAAATCTGCATCCAGGCTTATCTTCTGCAGTATCCTCTTTTAATGGACATTTTATATTTAAAACTGAGAAATTTAGAAAAAGGCCAAGACCTGTAATGGAGTGCACACAAAGGCTGGAAACAGTAGGAATGGAAAATGAAAGATAAGTGACCTCCACAAGTCAAGTACTGTTCATAATTTAAGGAGTGAGCTATCTGGGACCCATTCCTCAGATTTGTCTGATGGCTCAACAATGCCATGCCAACATCACAACGAGTCTGTGTGGCCCGGAGAGCGTCTGGCTGGCTGGTGCATTCCAGACTCACCAAAAACAAATTTCTCAAGATTATTGTGGGATCAGTTTCTGATTGGCTGGTTCAGAAAATAAAGATTTGTGGGAAGTTTGGATGGCTTACTATAATAACAACAACAAAATTACATTTGGCTTACTATAACAACAAATTACATTTATATAGCGCGTTTCATGTCGAGAGGATGTCCCAATGCGCTGGATAGTCAGGGGCTTGGACCTGAGCTGGGGGTTGGGATCAGGAGGGGTGGAATGCAGGAGTAGGAGGATGACCGAAGGCACGATCGAAAAGGAGGGTCTTGAGACGGGCCTTGAAGGAGTCAAGGGAGGGGACAAGGTGAAGAGATTGTGGGATGGAGTTCTAGAGGGTGGGGGCAGAACTCAACATTTGCTAGCTCTTTCCCAATCTGGCACTTGCTTTTTAGTCAAAATGAGAAAAGGAAAGAAACATATTCCTTGGGATACAATTTTGGAATTCGCTTTTTTCAGTCTGGTTGAAGAATGGCCTTTTCACCACAATATTCACTGCTAAATTGCTGTCATAGCAATGAACTAGGTGCCACACCAATGCTAAAAGAAAGTGAATTTGCAAGGCAATGGTACAAATCTGTGTCTTAATCTGTTCAAAGCAGCTGTATACTGATGTTCACAATCAGGACTTTTTTTGCTCTCCTGGCTGTCAGACACATCTAGAAATCCATCATGTGCTTAAGACTATCAAAACATACGTCTGCCACTTACACATGAAAATTTCTGTGTTTCTGGAATGGAATGCACATTCTCTTCTTGGAGAGCTGCACCTGCTTATCGATTTTGGGACATGACATGTCAAGTGATTACCAGGATTGTGGTAGGAAAACTAGATGGACCTTGGTCTTCTTTCGCCTAGCAAATTCTTATGTTCGGATGGTCTTTTTCCAGCGTCTAGAAGGTGCAGATTGGCAAGAGCCAAGACTTGGCAATCCAAGAGTGTGCGTTGAGGTACTGCTGCAGTTCAATCAGTCAAAACCACATAGGTCTCGGTACAGGAATTTAGGAGAATCTGGGTTCCATTCTTAATGTTCCAGAAACAGGTCTTTATAATGTTCATTTGTTGCTGGCTTTAATCCAGCAAGAACATGAGAAGAAGCTCTGGATTTTTAATCATTCAACATCTCAGGAACAAGCCCCCAAAAAACTTCAGGAAACATTAAATGCACCAAGTATACTTGGCGGAAAACCTTCCTCTTCGAACGTGCTTAAGGAAGCTATATAAATGCAAGTTGTTGTTGTCACTGAGACCAAGGGATTACCAAAGGCCCAAAAGTAATTCCACTCAGTACAAATCATACTTTTAACAGAAGGTTGAGGGTTAAGCCTATGCTGAAGCTTTAAAGGTGAACGTTACCGATCCCATACAACTATTAGAAAAGGGAAAGGAGTTTCTCCCAACATTCTGGCCATCAATCCTCCAGATTAAATCGGTCATTCACCTAACAGTTGTTTGTGAGAATTTGCTGGCACAAATGTCTGGCATGTTTGTCTACAAAAACAATTACTACACTCAACAATAATTACTTATCACAATTTGACGTGATAAGATGCTATAAAGATACAAGGTATTTTTTCCATTAATTATCACAAAGGGAGATTTTGTGGGACTGATTTTCTTGGCCTGTTCAGCAAAGAATTCCTGGCTGGAGATGGGATAGTTTGTTAGCAAATGCTTAGGTAGCTGAATCAGTGGCGCAGCTCTTGATGTAGAGTGAATACAGAAAGTTTGTGGGTTTCATACATTCCCCCGCCCCCACCAAAAAGTTTAAAATAATGATCTGTATATTTAGTATAGTGCCTTATTGCATCGTCAAAACGTCTCAAAGAGAGTTAAAAGAGAAAATATTTCACCCATTTTATCTCATACTTCCACTCTACCTACTAAAATACAGTCAATTCACTTTCACTTTATATTCTGTGAAGTGCTTTGAGACATCTCAAAGAAGTGATAAGGCACTATATTAAAATACAAGGATTATTATTATTATTATAGTTTGTGTCACTTATTGCTAAGTGGCCTCTGTAACAATATTTACCCTCCTTTTACTCTAACAGAACTCGAGCAGACTTTATAGAAGTTCAGAAGTAGTTTGTATTAAATGCCCTTGCCCTAGCTTACCTCAATCACAATAGCACAAGTAAACTATTGCAACATTCAACAGTAAAATTTCTATCTAAGACCTAATGTAATACTAATATAATCAAGACTAGCTACAATTCATAGAATCATACAGCACGAGGAGGCCATTCGGCCCATCGTGTCTGTGGGCTCTTTAAAAAGAGCTATCCAATTCAATCCCACTCCCCCACTCTCTCCCCATAGCTCTGCAATCTTGTCCTCCCCAAATTATATTGAATTGAAAGAAACCAATCTTGACTTGGAGCTTCGCCACCAGTCAGGCACGCACCTTAATGTCCACGTCAGCAGATGGAAGTGACCCCAAAAGAATCTACAACCTTGATCCCTTTCAATCCACCTAATGGTATATCCCCTTAGTCCCTCCCCTTTTGGCTTTTTCTGCCAAAAAGACTCCAGTCTCCAGTCTGTCTGCTTAATTAATGTATGGTTTGAATTCTGGTTAGACAATGCCCTGGCCGGAATCATGCGTCTTCCCCTCGCTTTTCGTACTTTTTCGTATAATTTTTCATACTATTAAGACTACAAAGAAAATAGAAGTCCATTTTGTAATGAAGGGAATCACCTGCTACACTTTCTCTTTCTCTCAGCGATCAGCCCACACCTTTATACACAGAGACAGACAGGCAGATACACACACACGCACCTTTACACACATAATCCTATTTTGTATGTTACCACGGTTTAATAGCAAAAATCCTTAGACTGACACTGAGTGAATAAAGGTGCTGGCAATCGCTCTAAAGCAAAATCTGTCCAAGATTAGTGAGAAAAAGAAGCATGTTCACTTTAAAAGTCAAAATAAAGTAAAAAGGAGATATTTCCTACTGTTACGTACATTTGAGGTGTTTTCATTCAATAATGATGCAGGAGCTGGATGCAGAATGCAGTGATGCTTAATTATCATCATTTTGAAGGCCATAAGCAGCATATCTTCTGTAATTGGAGCCCTTGATATCCAACAAGTGTGCTCTTCATTGGTTATGAACATTCAAACACTCATCCAAACAAAGCACAGCCTTATGCTCTGCAGTCCAGCCTGAATAAGCTTGTACAACCTGTTTGCAGTTGCTAGCGCCTCAAGAATAATGATTAGTTTCCAGACAGGGTTTTTCTAGATACACTGTACGAATCGTTTCATTTTCCAAAGTATTTAAAATACCTTTTTCTGTTGGGCAATTTGCCAATTGAGCATTCCAGACCGCCACATGTAGGCAATTCCAATAAAGAAAGATTATCAACAGTTTTAAGTTTCAGGTTTTTCGTTGAATGGACAGAAACCACACAATAACGTGCTTCAAAAATTGTTTCCGATTTCCTCTCCAAGGATTTGCTTCCATAGAAATGGCCCCATTAGTTTAAAAAAAACACTGTGTTCAAAGAGCTGTCCCTTGAACAGTTTTGCAAATTCTGAACACTTCCTTTGCATTTCTTTATATTGTTAGAATGGTTTACTGGCTCTTTGGAGCTCTACAAAGCAACATACTTCACCGGTCTCAACTTCACTGGACATTTTAACAGCTTTGATGACCTTTATTTGAGTAGAACAGCTAACAGGAAACAGGCGCTAGGTATGAAATGACAGGCCTGTTGCCCTCGACTGGTTGAATTAGCAATGCTCCTCCACTAGAGAGTGCTGGTCATTGTCAAACTCTTCCTCACCTAGTGGCAGAGAGAATGAAGAATTTTACCAATACTTCCCACTTAAAACAAAATGGGCAATTTTCTTGTCGTTTTCAATTGCTGTTAAGAACGGCATGTTTGAGATGTCTTCTTGACATTAAAGGTGCTATATCTAATGTAAACATTTTTATTATTTTACAATGCATTTCTGTAAAGTTTCGCGACTTGTCTATTTTTGGGCAAACGCAGCAGCCAAATTACATACAGCAATGTTCCACAAACAACCAGGAGAGAATGACCAATTTTATCTGGATTGTAGGATTGAGAACCCGGGGAGAAACACCCTTCTCTTGTTGAGTAATTTCCTCTAGGCGGGCAAATTAGTAAGTGGAAAGCACAATGATTCACAGGAAAATTTGATTTATGAGAAGAATTTTGAGATTTGGATCATCTTGCACAGTAAACTCAGTGGATTAACCCAAAACTAGCCAGCAATTTTCACTTTTGCGCAGCAATGTAAATGACATTTGTGAGGAATTTATTATAACTGAACCAACCTTTAAGATCTGGAGGTGCTACAACAGTTGGTTCCTCTGAATCATAACTGCTTATTGCTATATTTTTTCTCCAATGGCAATCCAAATGAGAAGCATAAATGCAAACATTACACCACAGAACTTTGAACTTCATAGTCTGGGCTGACACTCCAATAATGTTGGGGATGCGCTGCATTGTCAATCAGATGAATGTTAAACTGAGGTCCTCTCTGTGCATGTTCACGTGAATGTTAAAAATCTCATGGCACTGTTTAAGAAGAGAAGGGAGTTTCTTCCACTGTCCTGCCCAGCAACCCTCCAAATAAAATTGGTCATTCATTTCATGA